TACACTCAGACTAATATACACAGACAGGTAGCTAAGATTGCATTCACCCTGATTATACCTCACAAACTCAGTTTTACTTTTTGTAGCCCTGCACAAATTCATTATTACATATAGAACTACAAAGCAATTGTTCTTATAGCTTTAGTCTTTAAGAAGTAATTATGCAAATTCTCATCAATTTTTGCAAGCTTGCAAACTTCGGATTACTGTGCCCTCTGTCCCTCCTAACGCTCTATTCTGCACCGCCCCTAAATTCCCTCAAATCTCTGTGTGTTACCCTAGTATCCTAGTAGGTCAATGTATGTATATGGGAAACAGACTATAATATTATAATATTGCTATTGAGAGCTAAGTAGGTCAAGTTTAGAGATACACCTCATCTTCTAACATTTAAAAAATATTTAGAAAGTATAACAATACTTGCATATTAGTTTAAAACAAAAGCTACAAAAAGAATAATTTATGAACTCATTTTATAACCCCTTTAATCTTTGCAACCTGATTGTGTAGATTGTGTACATCTAGAGTGTATACTTAATAAAGTACATTTAGAGTGTAGATTTTATAAACTACATCTAGAGTGTAGATATAATAAAGTACATCTAGAGTGTAGATTTTATAAAGTACATCTAGAGTGTAGATATTATAAAGTACATCTAGAGTGTAGATATTATAAAGTACATCTAGAGTGTAGATATTATAAAGTACATCTAGAGTGTAGGGCTATGGTCAATGTCAGATGTTTTAGAAGTAAAAAAACGGACATTTATGCGCGCTTAGTAAAAATTTAAAAGTTAGAAGAATACTGTTTTATCAACGTTAAACTTTGATAAACTTTGTAATTTATTCGACATTTTTGAATTCTAATATTTTAATTCATTCACAGATTAGATAATAATATCAAACCAAGGACTGGCTTAATATGGTTTATTTTCAACATATTATCAAGGCATGATATTATTAAGAAAAGTCACAATATTTCTTATGTTTTTCTTCTTTTATTAGTAATATCTTTATTTTTATCCTTTACAAAATTATAATTTTTTGAGGTCGATCGGGGCTTTTAAAAACAGCAACATAACGTTTTAATCAAAAATAAAAACGCAAAATACCGTACGCACTAAACAATTCTACAAATACAAAATGTTCCCCCTTTTTTTGCTTGAACCATTCGACAAGGGAGAGGTGGTTGCTCTCAGATTTTGGGAATTGCTCCCAGGGTTTTGGAGTTGCTCCCAGGATTTTGGAGTTGCTCCCAGGATTTTGGAGTTGCTCCCAGGGTTTGGAGTTGCTACCAGGATTTTGGAGTTGCTCCCAGGATTTTGGAGTTGCTCCCAGGATTTTGGAGTTGCTCCCAGGATTTTGGAGTTGCTCCCAGGATTTTGGAGTTGCTCCCAGGATTTTGGAGTTGCTCCCAGGGTTTTGGAGTTGCTCCCAGGGTTTTGGAGTTGCTCCCAGGGTTTTGGAGTTGCTCCCAGGGTTTTGGAGTTGCTCTCAGGATTTTGGAGTTGCTCCCAGGGTTTTGGAGTTGCTCCCAGGGTTTTGGAGTTGCTCCCAGGGTTTTGGAGTTGCTCCCAGGATTTTGGAGTTGCTCCCAGGGTTTTGGAGTTGCTCCCAGGGTTTTGAAGTAAATTGAGAAAATTTATCCGACCTTTTATGAAAAGTCCTTTGAAAAGGGGAATTGGATTTTTTCTCAAAAAAAAATTGGAAATGAGATAACTTATAAAGATGTTGAGATGTATGAGACCAGCACATATAAAACCCTTATGTATTTAGCTGAACAAATATTTTTACATATACCAATAATGTTAAATAATACAAATTTCGTCAGTTTGGCTAGTCAAGACTATATGATTGGCACAGGCTACTTGGACTGAAATTTGCGATTTTTTCCTGAAAATATTTGAACAAAGAGAGTAAAAGAAGGGGTAGCAGAGCCCTTTTTTACAATGTTTGGCTTTAATGTCCCCTTTTTAAAGGACTTTCCATAAAGGTCAGATAAATGTTCACATTTTACTCCAAAACCCTGAGAACAACTCCAAAATCTTAGAATCACTCCAAAACCCTGGTAGCAATTCTAAAAACCTGAGAACAACTCCAAAATCCTAGGAGCACTCCAAAACCCTGGAAGCACTACAAAACCCTGAGAACAACTCCAAAATCCTAGGATCACTCCAAAACCCTAGGAGCAATTCTAAAACCCTGGGAGCAGCCTTCCCTCTCTCATTCGACCAGCCTAACCTAATTCAATTACCTCTTTCTTTTTCATGAGTTTTCATCTCACAAGTAATTTATATAATTTATTACAAAGTAATAATAAAATATAAGGAATAAAGCCCTATAAAAAATGTAAATACTACGCACTGTAAGCCCTACATGGATCAACAAGTCCATGCCCTATTTTACATCTTTGTACAATTGTACAAAAGAGTAAAAGGTATAGAACTGTACACTCTGTAAAACACAATTTGTAAAACAGTTTAGAGTATTTTTTACAGAGGATATTTAGTATAACACTGTACATCCTGTACAGTACATATTGTAAGAAACAATTGTACGTAAACTCTGTTTGTTCAGTAGATAGAATTACACAGTATTTTCAGTATATATTGTAAGTAAACAGTTTAATACTATGACTGTGTACCTTGTATAAAGTTTAATGGTATTAGGATGAAGAGAGAGTATAGAACCTGTAGAACATTAAGCTCGGCAAACAAGAATATATTTCTAAAATTCTCAACACCAGAACTCCATATATTCTCATTCATTTCTAAACATTAAACTTTGTATAGTTCCTATACACTGCATCGAGGGTAGGAGAGCGAGTCGTGGGTTAATATTTTTCCGAGCCACAAATTAATCTTGAAATAAGATTAAACATATGTGTACCTACAGTAATTTATTTTGTTGCAATTAATGGTTGTGTATTAGGTTACTTGTCTTAAATAAGTAAAATTCATGGTGTCTCTGACATATATTTGAGCCAAATGTGGTGGCTCGGATGAAAATGTATGTGGCGTGACCTCCTCCCCATCTACAACAATTTCTCCACTAGTTTCAAACATTTTTTCATTTCTTTAAAAGCTCAAACTTTTTCTTTCTCTGGTTTTTATTGTCTCAATTTTACAACTTTTTGAGGCAGCGATTCAACTAAAAACTTTTTTTAACCACTTTTTTATCTTTGAATCCTGACGATATTTGAAGCTTTGACCATTTAACATAGAAGATTTAATAAGTCTACGGCATCATGTTACAAAGATGTCAGGATTAGAAAATTAGACTTTGAAACGAGTAATCAGTTCCTTTCTTGTAAATGAAAAATTTTAATTTAAGACTATTTAAACTATATTCAAGGCAGAAGACTTAATCTAACCTTGCAGGATTGTCATATCTTATAAACTTCAAGTCGTCTTTACAGTCTCATCCTTTGTGGGTAACCCTGTATATTGGTAACCTGTAGAAACTATAGATAGTGTAGAACACGGAACAGACAAATTAAACTTTGGTCCCAATATCGGAATCATGTTTCAAATCAATCCAATCTTGGTTTGGTTAAATGTTTAATTGAAATTGGAATCAGTTTCTTCACCAAAAGGAAATATTTATACAGTTTAATTTAAATAATACAACATATATTTCTAACCCTTTAAACATTTTGTATATAATAATAATTTTTACACAAGTTAAATTGATTCTTGGCTTATAAAGGCATTACGCATACAATTATCCTAAGGGATCTTTCTTCACTAACTTCTCGGTTAATTTGATTATAAAATTTTTTCAAACCTTCTTCAAGAACCCATCCTTATAACCATTGTACTTTTTGACCCCGTGCTTTAATAAACTCAATATCTATATAATAAAGCTTAGGGAAAATTAAATAAAAAATCCCGCAATTGCTCTGAAGATTGTGAAAAACAAGAAACATTTATGTTGACAATAGTAAAATCATGTGAATGCTATTTAATCAAGATATATGTTTTTTTTAAACGGCTGAACCAAATTGGCTTGATTTTTGGGTGGGGTGGGGTGACTTAGGCTAAAAAATTGAACATTTTTAAAATTCCCCGGGCAACAAGTGGCACCTCAGCTAAAACCACGATTTAATACCATGCGCGGGTAAACAGCGGGAGTAACTATACGTAATAATATAAACTTGGGCAACACCAGGCACTCAAGCTAGTAATAAATAAATGTGTTAAATGAAATAAATTCAATTGAAATTTAACTTTCCCCTGCTTCAATACATTTTAAACTAAATTCAAGAAAGTTTCAGATGAACATTTCATTCATATCTTGAAGTTGAGAGTTGCAATAAAAAGAAAAATGTTTCATCACTTTAAAACAAATTAGTTTGCTTGTTCAGGAAAGAAAAGACTAACAGAACATTATTCAATTCAATTTCATAAAACTTATTCTTTTCCTTTAGCTATAATGACACTTATTCGTAACATAATTTAAAAGTTAAAAGTTTGGAAAGGAAAAAAATGATAAATACAAAAAGGAAATGAGATTTTGCCACAAACTCTAATGTTTAAATCTCTATTTCTCTGCAACCCGATATCGTAGACCTTTGATATTTCAAACTATGCATTCAGTTAGATCAACTAATCTAAGTTTAAAAATAACAGGTTACAAAGATAAAGGGAATGATTAGAAAACTTGAGTTTGTCTGCTGCATTTAGGAGGAAAATAGTGATAAAATAGTGTTTATTCTAAAGCATAAGGATTGTTGAACTATTATTCTCTATGCTGGTTCAAGTGGTATATTGGTCCTATTGATGCATAATCCAAACCGATATATGTGGATTTATCAGTCAATGGTAATCCTACCACTTAACAAGATACTGTTAATTGCTAAATCAATGGGTTGGAGTGGTCTATTCTGAATCTTGTTTATTTTTGACAATGACTAGTTTGATTATGAATTGCATATAAAATACATTTTTTTCTTAATAATAATAATGAAGTTTATAGATTTTTACCAAATCTCTTTTCAGCTGAGGAAGACGACGTGACTATACAACTGTACGAGAAACCGGTTCCAGAAACAGAGTTCGTAAAGCACTGCTGTCAGCGCAGGAAATATCCAGTTCTTCTCAAGGTAAAATATTTATGTACATTTTGTGTTCAAATAATCATGACTTTGAAATTGTCAACCATTATACACACGTATCTTAGTCCAGACTTTATGAACCAGGCTAAGCAAGTGACAGAAATAAAAAGATGACATTTTAAACAAGTAGTGGTTGTAAATTTGGACAACTGTCATTTGAACTACTGATCCTATAAACTTTTTTAATATTTGAACTACTGATCCTATAAACTATTTTAATATTTGAACTACTGATCCTATTAACTATTTTAATATTTGAACTACTGATCCTATAAACTATTTTAATATTTGAACTACTGATCCTATAAACTATTTAATATTTGAACTACTGATCCTATAAACTATTTAATATTTGAACTACTGATCCTATAAACTATTTTAATATTTGAACTACTGATCCTATGAACTATTTTAATATTTGAACTACTGATCCTATGAACTATTTTAATATTTGAACTACTGATCCTATGAACTATTTAATATTTGAACTACTGATCCTATAAACTATTTTAATATTTGAAACTTATTAATATGTGAACTACTGATCCTATGAACTATTTAATATTTTAACTACTGATCCTATCAACTATTTAATATTTGAACTACTGATCCTGTGAACTATTTAATATTTGAACAAATTGTTATTTTCATTATAGGTATCGTTTTATTTCTAGAAGTTCAAATAAACTTTTTTTGTCACTTTCATCTTTTATTATTTGAGTATTTTATTTTCTCTATTTATGTCAAACATTTAATTTAAAGAAGCACCATGTTTTCACATATTTCTTGTTTACATATTACCACACATGGGAACCCCTTGAATTATATCATCAGACATATACTGGTGCTCTATATACACTATAACCTCGTTGTCTGCCATCTTTGATTGCAACCAGAATCCTTCAGGTCTTTTTCTGAATGGTTTATTTAAAAACTTTTGTATTTGCTACATTAGGCCTGACACATTATTGTTTAATGTTTCAGTCTTGGCTTCTGTTGCCTTAAGAGATTAGGCTTGATAAATATTTGATAAAGTTTGAAAATGTTGATTTCGTAATCTCTAGAGAGCACTTTCTCATTAGGTATTCACACAGGATTTCAGGCTTAAACTCCAACCTGTAATCTTTGTCATTTATGACTAATATACTGCACAGTTATTGCAAAAAACTGCAACCTTTAATCTTTTAGATTTCATGAGCAAATATATATATATATATATATTTATAACAAAAAAGCAATAATCAGAGCAGCTTCTCAGTTTTCATATTTATTAATACAAATTGTTTCGGATTGCTCCTCTTCAGTTAATAAACATGTATATATATATATATATATTTATAACAAAAAAGCAATAATCAGAGCAGCTTCTCAGTTTTCATATTTATTAATACAAATTGTTTCGGATTGCTCCTCTTCAGTTAATAAACATGTATATATATATATATATATTTTGAAGCAAAGTGAAATAAACTGAAATGTTATTCAACAAAACTTTATCATGGAGAACGAAAGTAATTTTCTTTGCATTTCATTTTCTGTCTGTGCAAATTTATTCTGAAAATAACACAGTTTTAGGTAAAAACAAAGAAAAGAAAGGTTTTGTATAGTTATCTACACCTCCAGGTTTACTGTGGGTTTTTTATTTTTTTTTTATTTCGCTGTTTTTTCTACTTGTTTACTCCCGTTTCTTCTCTTCTGCTTCTACCCCTTTTAACTTCTTTTTTTTTTGTAAAGAAACCACAATTGAAAATAATTAGTTTTTTTTTTAAATCATAAGCATTGACAAGACAAGACAAAGCTTTCCAGGGTACCATTGTGAATATTTGATTTTGTTTTTTTAAATAATATTTCGCTGTCACTGGATTTTCGAACATTCCTGAAAAATATGAAAATGTTGTCTTCATTATCAAAAATCTTTTAAACAGGAATAAATGGTTTTATAAGAACTATCAGATCATAAAAAAAATATAATGAAATATAAACTATATATGAATGCGTCAAAAAATTATCGATGACTATTGTTTGTAATATCTGAATGATTTGTCTGAAATCAAATTAATTTTTTAACGATCCGAGTTGAATGTGGCAACTTTCTGAATTTCTATGGACGCTACGTTCTTCGGTATAAGTCGTTTTTAACAATTTTCTCCATATAGATGCAACAGATAGAAGTAAGATTAGTAGCGATCAATAGCGCTTATTTTTCGCCGTAAGCCTATACCCTTTTTTCATTTTTCACGAACACTCCCTTTAAAAGAACTTACCAAAATGCGGAATCCTAAAGAATCAAAAGCTTTTCTGAAATCAAATTCTTCACTTAATTTTGCTCAACAATTAAAATATGCTTTTGATCTTCTAACAGCGTAGGGTCTCTTGTTGTAGCTTTGATTCTTTTGTTACAGCTCTGGTTTCCTTGTTACAGCTCTGGTTCCCTTGTTACAGCTCTGGTTCCCTTGTTACAGTTCTGGTTCCCTTGTTACAGCTCTGGTTCCCTTGTTACAGCTCTGGTTTCCTTGTTACTGCTCTGGTTCCCCTGTTACAGCTCTGGTTTCCTTGTTACTGCTCTGGTTCCCTTGTTACAGCTCTGGTTTCCTTGTTACTGCTCTGGTTCCCTTGTTACAGCTCTGGTTTCCTTGTTACTGCTCTAACTCCCTTGCTACAGCTCTGGTTTCCTTATTACTGCTCTGGTTCCCTTGTTACAGCTCTGGTTCCCTTGTTACAGCTCTGGTTTCCTTGTTACAGCTCTGGTTCCCTTGTTACAGCTCTGGTTCCCTTGTTACAGCTCTGGTTTCCTTGTTACAGCTCTGGTTTCCTTGTTACAGCTCTGGTTCCATTGTTACAGCTCTGGTTCCCTTGTTACAGCTCTGGTTCCCTTGTTACAGCTCTGGTTCCCTTGTTACAGCTCTGGTTTCCTTGTTATTGCTCTGGTTCCTTTGTTACATCCCTGGTTCTTCTTGCTTTATCACTTTTTCTCTTGTTACAGCTCTGGATCCCTTGGTACATCCCTGGTTCCTCTTGCTACATCCCTGGTTTCCTTGCTACATCCATGGTTCCCTTGCTACATTCCTGGTTTCCTTGCTACATCCCTGGTTCTCTTACTACATCCCTGGTTCACTTGTTACATCCCGGTTTTTCCTTGCTACATTCCTGGTTCTCTTATTACAGCTCTGGTTCCCTGCTTCATCTCTGGTTCCTCTTGTTACATCCCTGGTTCCTCTTGTTTCATCCCTGGTTTCTCATGTTACATCCCTGTTTCCTCTTGTTACATCCCTGGTTCTCTTGTTACAGCTCTGGTTCCCTTGTTACAGCTCTGGTTTCCTTGTTACAGCTCTGGTTTCTTTGTTACAGCTCTGGTTCCATTGTTACAGCTCTGGTTCCCTTGTTACAGCTCTGTTTCCCTTGTTACAGCTCTGGTTTCCTTGTTACAGCTCTGGTTCCCTTGTTACAGCTCTGGTTCCCTTGTTACAGCTCTGGTTCTTTTGTTACAGCTCTGTTTCCCTTGTTACAGCTCTGGTTCTCTTGTTACAGCTCTGGTTTCCTTGTTACTGCTCTGGTTCCTTTGTTACATCCCTGGTTCTTCTTGCTGCATCACTGGTTCTCTTGTTACAGCTCTGGATCCCTTGTTACATCCCTGGTTCCTCTTGCTACATCCCTGGTTTCCTTGCTACATCCATGGTTCCCTTGCTACATCCCTGGTTTCCTTGCTACATCCCTGGTTCTCTTACTACATCCCTGGTTCTCTTGTTACATCCCTGTTTTTCCTTGCTACATTCCTGGTTCTCTTATTACAGCTCTGGTTCCCTGCTTCATCCCTGGTTCCTCTTGTTACATTCCTGGTTCCTCTTGTTACATCCCTGGTTCCACTTGCTACATCCCTGGTTCCTCTTGTTACAGCTCGGGTTCCTTGTTTTTCTCATCTTAATAAATTGAGTTGGAGTATAACTAGTCTTCTCTGCGGAAACCATTTGAAAGAAATAGAGTAGAACTTACCATTCATTAATTTTACAGGAAAACTAGAACATTTAGGTTTTACCTGGAATATTCATTTGTTTTAGATATTTTAAACCAAGTTAAATTTGAAATGGAGATTTTTTTAAGAAAGAAATTGAGTGTTTGCCACAAACTTAAATGTTCGAGTCCTTATATATTTGCAACCTGATAAAACCTTTGATTTTTCAAAATATGATTAATTGATCTAATATAATTCATTGATTGAAATATCTAGGGTCTACGACATTGCTTTGCAAAGATATATGGATTATTGTGTGGCAAAGATATATGGATTATTGTGTCAAAGTGAATAAATACTAAAGTGGACCAAACTCATAGGTGGATGACGACATTTTATGTCCCAAGTATTTAGAAATATGTATATATATATAAATTGGTCTGTATACGGAGTGTACAGTACAACAGAAACTGGACTCCCTTTGTTTACAAACACAGACTTAGAATTTGTATTTAACTTAACTATAAGTTAACGTAAATTAAGATTTCAGAAGCGATTCGCCATTTTGCTGCACAATAAATGATTTCAGACAACACAATAATGCCTGCAAGCATAATCTGTAAAACAAGGAATGCACAATTTGTGATACCGAAAAATGAAGATCTACGAAATATATCTCTTGGTCTTCGCTTTTGTATTTTGACAGATTTAAGAGTGGTTGAGAACTAGACATAGTTTTAAAGATATTAAGGGCTTACATTTCTTTTTCTTTTTGGGAGGGGGGAGGCCGACCCCCCCCCCCACTGATCCAGGAGGGGGATGAGCCACCATAGCCCCCCCTGAATACGCCTCTGGATGATAACATAGATCTGTTTTAAGAAATTTACAAACATATTTCAAAATGGAGGGAGATTTGAAACAAAACTAATCAGTTTTAAGGATAAATTCGTTTAGAATTAGAAGTGCCAGGGAAAATCAATGAATTGATTAAGCGACTAAATAGTATTTACATATAAACTACATAGAAACGTACAAAAATTTTTGATTTTAAATCGTGAAAATTTCGAAGTTCTATCTGAAGACGACATTTACATGGGTCTTTAGTCTATTTTTTCTAGTCTTTACTTTCCAAACGAAATCTTTTCATGAAATTATTTCCAAACCAAATAAAACCTTATGGCCCAACCTGTCGTCGTTTCCTTAGTCTGTTCCACTTTAGTATTTATTCACTTTGTTATTGTGTGGCAAATATATTTGGATTATTGTGTGGCAAAGATATTTGGATTATTGTGTGGCAAAGATATATGGATTATTGTGTGGCAAAGATATATGGATTATTGTGTGGCAAAGAACCAATTCCCTTTGAATTGACAGAACTACTATTACTAAAACTATGGAATGAAAGGACGACTGTTAGATTCAAGTTATGATTTTTAATAGTCAAACGAACATCATATACAGCAACTGTAAGATGTAAACAGACCCATTTCTCTTCATAAGTTGATTTTAAAGCTACTGGTTAAACCGAAGATTTCATAAATGTCATCTTAGAATTTCTTTGGAAAACTTTGAAGAAAATCATTGAATAAAATATTTAAAAGATTTGATTTATTATATCTAATGTTAAATCATGTTTTGAAACCTTGATATGTTCAGTTTTCTATGTTCTCTCTTGTCAGGAGAATTTAAAATCAATTTCTTAAATGGATTCTAGATGTCAGGCAACGTTTTAAATTATTTTAAATCGTTGAAATTTGAATATTTTTATTTCGAATAAAAGACAAGGTAACATTGTCCAAATATTGTAAACAGGGTTGTAAGCAGTAAGATAAACATGGCAGTTAACATAAATCCGTAGAAAACCATTAATTAAAGATAATACTGATTAACAGTGGATACCCCTGTAGGATTGATAATATTTGATTTAATTTTTACTATTTTGAAATGTTCAGGTTGAGTTTAACAACGGTATAAAGGAGAACAGTTCAACTTCTCTCCGTCACGCCAGTAAAAAGTCTAATATGGAGAAGAACCAGAACCCGAGAATTATTCCATGTAAGTACTACAAACGGAAAACTTTTTGTACAGCAGTTACCAGAAAAAAAACAGTTTAATAAGAAATAAAGGGTGTCCATTAAGAAAGATTCCCACCTACCAATTCTTCTCTAATTAATGTAAATCTACGAATATTAAGTATGCAAATTTTCTAAATCATAAATAAAAGATTGATCAAAGAGGTGAACAAGCAATATTTAATCTGCAGATTAAGAAAAAGAGTGGATTAAGCATTAATCCCGATATCCACCATTCTAAAGTTTTCAGCTCTGTATTAAAAAGTGGATTAAAAAATCCAAGAGGTGACTTCGTTCAGAAGATTCCACTTGCCAGCGTGCTGAAAGTATCAAAAACGTTTTTCAAGCCGGACACACATTGCCAGGTTGTAAAATCATAATCATAAGAATCTTTAGAAGACGTTCCAAATCCAAGAAGCACTTATTTCATGAACCTTGAGCCAAAAAAACAGTGGAATTTTCTTCGTTCTTGTTTTGAATTATGAAACTTAAGATTTTGTAATCTGCAACTTCACTATTTCTAAAAATAATTTTCAGAGCTATATACAGGGTGTCTCAAAAAAACAGGGAATAAGGGTCTACGGACTCTTCTGTAATCGGATTTTCAAGATTGAGACCATTTTAAAAATCTATTCACAATTTTCGATTAAATAAGCCCAATGTTAGGCTTATATATGTAAAAATAACAATTTTATATGCTCCTCAAGTTTGCAACTGGAGCGAGTAAATTTAGTAAAAATAGAGATAATCTCCGTTTGCACATGAGGGTCTCTGCAGACGCAAGGGCGGTTTTAGAGGATTTAAGATAAGGGGGGGGGGGTAGAACCTATATAAATTTTACCCCTCCCCCCTCTGTAATCTTGTAAAGAAAAAATTCCCCCCACCCCTCTATTTAAAATGATCTATTTACCTCTCTAACCCTACAAAAATTACAATTTCTTCATAGTATATAGGGTATATAGTCTTAATAATCCATTTATCTATTTAAAAACGATATAAAACCATATTATTGATTGAACTTTATACTCTACATTAACATTATATATATCATATCATATTATTCTAATGAAGGGAGAATTATTTTTTATTTTATTATTATTTTATTATTTTATTCTTGCTAATTTGTCTTGCAGGAGACTCAAAGTAGTTTCTATGCTTATTTTTAGAGTTGAAAATAACCAGAAGAAGGCTGAACGTAAATAAAGGAATTTTTGTTCATAATAAATAATAATAAGAATATCCTTTTTTATTCCAATCTACAACAATTTAGTTTTCTTGAAATAAAGGCACTGTTGAGGCCAGACTCTTCGGGTGCATGTCGCTATTCTTCGAGGTTGACCAATTAACCTGTCGGTGGTAATAGATGAGAGCATTGAGCAATTTTTACATCACAAAGTTTCAGAGGTCGATAAAAATTTGATAAGTTTTGACTAATGTGCATTTTTCTGAAATGCCGAGTACAGCAAAGCGGAAAACTTGGGTTATCACTGATGTATTTTATAGAGGAGGATATATATGTTTATTTTTAAATTTTTGTCACTTTCAAGTAAATTTTATTATTTATATACATTATACATACATAAAAAAACTATAGTTTAAATGAGAGATGACTTTGTAAAAATCGAGGGGTGTATACCCCCCCCCCCCTAATTTCTCTCAGTGGGGGTAATGGACTGCAACCCCACCCCCTGAAACCGCCTACTTGTTTGTAATCGGATTTTCAAGATTGAGACAATTTTTATATCTGGGTTCAATTTCCGATTTAATGATCCCAATTTTAGGCTTGTAGATCTAAAAATAACATTTAACATTTAATATAAAATTGTGAAAACGGAGATTTTACTTTACTTTATACAACGCTCTAGTTAGAAACTTATAAAATTGTTATTTTTAGATTTACAAGCGTAAAATCAGACTCATTGTAAAGGAAAATTTACGTAGATATCAAAAATGGTTTCAATTTTGAAAATCCAATTACAAGCAAGTCTGTGGATCCTTAAAAAAATTGTGCAAATGGAGATTATCTTATTTTTATTAAATTACTCACTCCAGTTGGAAACTTTAGGAGTTTATAAAATTGTTATTTTTAGCTCTATAAGCCTAACATTGGGCTTATTGAATCGGAAATTGTAAATAGACTTTAAAAATTATCACTATCTTGAAAATCCGATTACACACGAGTCTGTATACCATTATTCCCCGTTTTTTATTGGACGCCCTGTATGTATAATACATAAAGGGAAGAACATAGACGACATACGTTCTACAGTTTTCTGTTCCTGCATTGACCTTTTGATCTATTTTCTTTTGTAAAATCAAGAATTTGTTCGAGAATAAATTTTCGAAAATTGATTGAAAACAATTTTATATTGAGATGGATCTTTTGTAAGTAGATAATTTGTAATTTTTTTTTTGACGTGTTTATAATTTTTTAATTACTACAAGAGGTGTACGAAATGTGAGCATGTTTTTGCCCTAATTTTATTTGATATTTCTATAAAAACGCGGGATTTTTTTTCTTCATGGAATAGGTGGAGTCCTTTAAAGGTGAAAAAGATATTTCATTTAACATTTAAACAGTTTTAGAATTTTTGAAGACGTATAAAAATTTGGAATAATTGTTACGCTTACGTTATGGTTTTTAATAGTTCCATTTCACTTAAAAATTGATTTTCGATTTATCGGTTAAACTGTTTGCTATATAACATCAAATAATTATAAGAAGGCTTAAGTGTCGTATTTATATTTCACAGTTTTCTGGCTCTCACTTAAATGGTTTTCAATAACCTACTCTATATACATAATTGTTTTTGTTTTCAGATGATTTTAACCGGGTAGTGCTAGATCCTGAGGAGGGGGTTCTGGACTCAGATTATATTAACGCCTCGTATGTCGACGTAAGTTTTTACCAAACTGATTTTATCATAAATCATTCCAGGCGTAAATAGTACTAGGTTCATTTTCTATTTCAACTTTTACTTGGGGCTCTATCTGTGAGCATCTTCTCTTAATTTGTACAATATAAAAAATTGCAGATGCTACAAAATTCTAATCGGTTCTATCATAATTTAATATATAACATATATATTAAAATGTCTACATTTTGTATTCAAAAATAGAAATTTTGAATTTTTATTTCAGCTAATCATTTTCCCTTAATGAAATCTATGGATGCAAGGACTAATCTATTCTGCAGTAACCAACTGCTCCGTCTTTAAACTATGAAATCTATGGATGCAAGGACTAATCTATTCTACAGTAACCAAACTATGAAATTAAATTGAAGCTAATCATCAAAGTAGAATAATCATACTGAGTGTACAGATATACATTATGCAAGAATATATGAGAACTTGATATCAAGCAATATTCAAGAAAGTTGATAGTTTAAAGGGGGAACGCTTGATTTACAACGGTATCCTTTAAACCTTTATCTGATCAATATATCTGATCAGGATACCGTCCCTTTTCTAGTTTTAAAAGTTTTAATTTGGACAATTTCCTCCATTGTTCTTACAGACAGCAGAAAAACACAAATCACTTATATAGAGTAACCATAATCGAAAATAATACATTTTTCAAATTTAAAGTCGTAAATATCTCATTCATTTTTGCTCATATAAAAGGTACCGTTGTGAATAGGAAATGTCACTTTAAAATAATTCTACAGTTAAATGATATTTTAGAAAAATATTTGTTTACAGAGCTTGGTTCAGCCTAAGGCCTATATAGTGACCCAAGGTCCTACTGAGTCCACTATGCCTGACTTCTGGAGGATGGTTTGGCAGGAGAGAGCTTCATGCATAGTCATGGTCACAAGAACATTCGACTTTATCAGGTAGTTCATGGGGTATATGGAGTTCATGGAGTTCATGGAGTTCATGGAGTTCATGAGTTCATGAAGTTTGGGGAGTTCAGGAAGTTCAGAGAGTTCAGAGAGTTCATGGAGTTCAGGGTGTTTAGGGATTATCATTGAACAAAAATCTCGAGTTTCCTTTTTGGGGTCTTAACATTTGTGTAGATTTTGATTTTGCACTTAGAGAATACATAGTGTTCATTGAGTACGGGGAATACATGGTGTTCCTGGAGTACAGGGAGGTCATGGTGTTCCTGGAGTACAGGGAGGTCATGGTGTTCCTGGAGTACAGGGAGGTCATGGTGTTCATGGAGTACGGGAATACATGGTGTTCATGGAGTACAGGGAATACATGGTGTTCCTGGAGTACAGGGAATTCGTGGTATTCCTGAAGTACAGGGAATACATGGTGTTCCTGTAGTACAGGGAGGTCATGGTGTTCATGGAGTACAGAGAATACATGGTGTTCATTGAGTACAGGGAATGCATGGTGTTCATGGAGTACAGGGAATACATGGTATTCCTGGAGTACTGGGAATACATGGAGGTCATGGAGTACAGGGAATTCATGGTGTTACTGGAGTACAGGGAATACATGTTATTTCTGGAGTACTGGGAATACATGGTGTTCATGGAGTACAGGGAATACATGGTGTTCATAGAGTACAGGGAATACATGGTGTTCCTGGAGTACAGGGAGGTCATGGTGTTCATGGAGTACAGGGAATACATGGTGTTTCTGGAGTACAGGGAGGTCATAGTGTGCATGGAATACAGGGAATACATGGAGTTCAGTGAATTCATGGAGTCCATGTAGTTTAGGGAATTCATGGAGTCCATGTTCATGGAGTCCATGTAGTTTAGGGAGTCAGAAAATTGCATTTAAATTCACGTCATAAAACTTTTCTGAGCTTCAAAGTTTTAACTCGATAATGTGAAGAAGTTTATATTCAGCAGCAGCTTTAAATTAAGGTATGTTGGAGCAGCAAGCTAGCTTCATAATTACAAAAATCCGCTAATATATGCAGAAGCAGCAATCTAATGTTTTCTTCTAAAAGTTAAATAATTTGCTAGACTACGGAAGAACGGTGAGGAGAGGAAAGTTATTCAATTTCACTACACAGAGTGGCCTTGTCACAGCAATCCTTTTAGCAATGCACTACTGGAATTCAGAAGGAAATCTATCATTTAATCTTTAATCATTATTTTCACACGAGTTCACAGGGAAATCTGAAAAAAAATTTTAAATCTTGATTTCAATGTTGTAATGTTATGACTAAGCTAATCGATAACTTCGGCGCCATTTTTAAAACTTATGATTAATTGATTGATTGAATGAAGACGAGTGCGGCAAGTTATGAATCAGCATCCAGAGACACAGGATGGTCCAGTCATAGTTCATTGCAAGTAAGTTGAATACTTGTTGAGAGCCGGGGGGTTAAAAGGTTTCTTCTCTTTACAGGAGTCAAGAATCCTTTCATTCCAATTTTCTCATCAAATTAAACAAAAAAGAAAAAGTAAAAATGTCTCACACCTCAGCCTGTATCTACAACTAGAGCGTATTGGATAGATATACAAGCAGAACCAATCCATTAATATTTTAATGTTGGTTCAACCTACACCCCCGTATTTATCCTTTAACGACTTTTAAGGGAGAATGAGTAATATTATTAATACAGTAATAAATAGTAAGGTTTTTAAAATTTAACATGAAACTTTTGACATTTGAAATACATCCATACATCTTTAATGAGTTTGGAATGAATCATAAAAATAACTGACCTTCATTCCCCTTCATAGGGAGGATAATTTCTCATCCTCCCTATTATCTATTTTCCCTGTTATCCATGGGGCTTGTTATTTAATCCCCCGCGGTTAATTATTTCGTTGAACAGGACCATTGATATTTAGTTAGTTAGTTATTTCGTTGAACACGACCATTGATAGGTAGTTAGTTAATTATTTCGTTAAACATGACCATTGATAGTTAGTTAGTTTGTTATTTCGTTAAACGGGACCATTAATATTTAGTTAGCTAGTTCTTTCGTTAAACAGGGTCATTGTTAGTTAATTTGTTATTTATTTCGTTGAACAGGACCATTGATGGTTAATTAGTTTGTTATTTCGTTGAACAGGACCATTGATAATTATTAAGTTAGTTATTTCATTAAACAGGACCATTGATAGGTAGTTAGTTAGTTAGTTATTTCGTTGAACAGTACCATTTACATTTAGTTCGTTAGTAATTTCGTTTGAACAGGAAGATAAAACGATAAACTACTAATTAACCGGGAGTTTTCATTAGGATATATAAATTGAAGCCTACCTCGATCTGTTTGGGTCTATAAAGTCAAAAAAAAAGGTGTTGAAGGCCCTCGGTTGATTGTATTTATCCTAAGTCAATTATTCTCCCTTCCCCTCCTGGTCAATTACTAATTGAATATATTTTCAATTTCTAAAAACTCGAATTCGAACAATGGCATGTTTAAAATGTTTCTTAATTGGGAACTTCTAAAAAGAGGCAGGTTTTTTCAAATATTTTATGTCAAATTAAATTAAAAATAATAGTTGATCACATAGATCCAGACTGCTTTTACCTCACTAACTCAATTATACTTTTTTGTAGCCCTAGACATGTAAATTTTACAACTTTAAACTTCTTTTTTAAGCTTTGGTATTTAAGAAGTCGTTGAGTTAAACGAAATTCTTATAGATTTTTGCGTTAGAGTTCTGGCTTTGTTAGAATAAGAAATAATATGATCTCCCCTTTTCTTTCTGTAATGGGACTACTGTTCCTACAGTTAGCGTAGTTTTAAGTAATTAAGGTACCCTTAAAGATTTATCTGATCAATTATGAATTTATATCAATGTTTATAGTTTTGAAAATTAATTATTTTGAAATATAGGTTCTAGGACACTTTTACTGCAGGAAAACATATGGGAATTTTCAGAATTAAACACTGTTTTTTTTCTAGAAAAAATACATTATCCCCCACAAAATTGATCAGATAAAGATTTAAAGTGTCACATTGTGAATCAGAAATTCTCTTTTTTTATATTTTCATTATCTAGTGATGGTGCTGGGCGGAGTGGAGTATATATAGCTATAGACGCGAATATAGAACTGTGCGAAGAGGACGGAGTATTTGATGTTTACGGATATCTCAAGAAAATTCGTGGATTAAGACGTGGCCTTGTAGAAACACTGGTAGGTTCCATTCATTTAGTAGGATTAAAGGGACGGTCTTCGTGATTGCAACTTACTCTTTATTGTTGATAAAACGTTATGTCGTTTCGACAGTTTGAACATTTGTTTATTTAATCCCTTTAGAAATGCATAATCCTTTAGGAAGCCCTAACTATTAAGATGTGTGGTTCAACGGATTCAGTTTTGGATGAAATTTAAGAATTTTGAGAAATCGCCCGATCTGAAGCCACACAAATTTGTTCTTCACGTGGATGTCAAGTTACTGCTTTCTCTAACAAAATTTCCAACCTCATGTTGCACAGCTATTAATAAAGTTTGCAAATAAAAAAATTGAATAGAAATTACAGTTGCTTATAGCTTTCTTATCATCGAAAATAGAGAAAAAGTTAAATTGACGAACACAGTTCCTTAGAATTCGAACATTTTTGCCCGGAAAGTTGACCAAAATTTAAAAAAAGATCATTAAAAAATTTGTCTATACACAAACCACATGAGAGTCGCAGGCAAACAATATAATATTGTATTAAACCTACAGACCTAACCTTTCTCCGGGGCAATATTACTGTATTAACCCTCCAGACCTAAACTCTTTCCGTGGCAATAATACTGTATTAACCCTCCAGACCTAAATTCTCTCCGGGGCAATAATACTGTATTAAACCTTCAGACCTAAACTCTCTCCGGGGCAATATTACTGTATTTACTCTCCAGACCTAAACTCTCTCCTGGACAATAATACTGTATTAAACCTCCATATCCAGTCCTAAACTCTCTCCGGGGCAATAATACTGTATTAACCCTCCAGACCTAAACTATCTCCGGGGCAATAATACTGTATTAAACCTCCAGTCCTAAACTCTCTCCGGGGTAATAATACTGTATTAACCCTCCAAACCAAAACTCTCTCCGGGGCAATAATACTGTATTGAACCTCCAGTCCTAAACTCTCTCCGGGGCAATAATACTGTATTAACCCTCCCGACCTAAACTCTCTCCGGGGCAATAATACTGTATTAAACCTCCAGACCTAAACTCTCTCCGGGGCAATAATACTGTATTAACCCTCTAGACCTAAACTCTCTCCGGGGCAATAATACTGTATTAAACCTCCAGACCTAAACTCTCTCCGGGGCAATAATACTGTATTAACCCTCCTGACCTAAACTCTCTCCGGAGCAATAATACTGTATTAAACCTCCAGTCCTAAACTCTCTCCGGGGCAATATTACTGTATTAAACCTTCAGACCTAAACTCTTCCGGGGCAATATTACTGTATTAAACCTCTAGACCTAAACTCTCTCCATGGAAATAACACTGTATTAAACCTCCAGACCTATACTCTCTCCGGGGCAATAATACTGTATTAAACCTCTATACTAAACTCTCTCCGGGGCAATAATATTGTATTAAACCTCTATATTAAAGTCTCTCCGGGGCAATAATACTGTATTAACCCACCAGACCTAAACTCTCTCCAGGGCAATAATACTGTATTAACCCTCCAGAAATAAACTCTCTCCGGGGCAATAATACTATATTAACCCTCCAAACCTAAACTCTCTCCGGGTCAATAATATTGTATTAACCCTCTAGACCTAAACTTTCTCCGGGGCGATAATACTGTATTAACCCACCAGACCTAAACTCTCTCTGGGGCGATAATACTGTATTTAACCTCCAGACCTAAACTCTCTCCGGGGCAATAATACTGTATTAACCCTCAAGACCTAAACTCTCTACGGGGCAATAATACTGTATTAACCCTCCAGACCTTAACTCTCTCCGGGGCAATAATACTGTATTAACCCTCTGGACCTAAACTCTCTCCGGGGCGATAATACTGTATTAACCCTCTAGACCTAAACTCTCTCCGGGGCAATAATACTGTATTAACCCTCCAGACCTAAACTCTCTCCGGGGCAATAATACTGTATTAACCCTCAAGACCTAAACTCTCTCAGGGGCAATAATACTGTATTAAACCTCCAGTCCTAAACTCTCTTAGGGGCAATAATACTGTATTAACCCTCCAGACCTAAACTCTCTCCGGGGCAATAATACTGTATTAACCCTCCAGACCTACACTCTCTCCAGGGCAATAATACTGTATTAACCCTCCCAACCTAAACTCTCTCCGGGGCAATAATACTGTATTAACCCTCCAGACCTAAACTCTCTCCGGGGCGATAATACTGTATTTAACCTCCAGACCTAAACTCTCTCCGGGGCGATAATACTGTATTAACCCTCCCGACCTAAACTCTCTCCGGGGCAATAATGCTGTATTAACCCTCCAGACCTAAACCCTCTCCGGGGCAATAATACTGTATTAACCCTCCAGACCTAAACTCTCTCCGGGGCAATAATACTGTATTAACCCTCCAGACCTAAACTCTCTCCGGGGCAATAATACTGTATTAACCCTCCCGACCTAAACTCTCTCCGGGGCAATAATGCTGTATTAACCCTCCAGACCTAAACTCTCTCCGGGGCAATAATACTGTATTAAACCTCCAGTCCTAAACTCTCTCCGGGGCAATAATACTGTATTACCCTCCAGACCTAAACTCTCTCCCGGGCGATAATACTGTATTAAACCTCTATACTAAACTCTCTCCGGGGCAATAATACTGTATTTACTCTCCAGACATAAACTCTCTCCGGGGCAATATTACTGTATTAACCCTCCAGACCTAAACTCTCTCCGGGGCAATAATACTGTATTAATCCTCCCAACCTAAACTCTCTCCGGGGCAATAATACTGTATTAACCCTCCAGACCTAAACTCTCTCCGGGGCAATAATACTGTATTAACTCTCCAGCCCTAAACTCTCTCCGGGGTAAATTTCTAGAAGGCCGGATTAAGGTTTAAAATATAGGTTGAGAACTTGTCACAAAACATGTCTCCTACACTGGTTCTGGTTCATCCGCAAAACTATTAACCAGAATTTCGGGTGTATATTTTTCAAATTCCTCCCAGTGCTGCGTAGGGACCGGAGAAATAAGATTGAATAAACTAAATTGAGGCTTAGCCACAAACTCAAATTTTGTAATCCCAATATCTGTTTAACCTTATGGCTTTATATTTCAAACTTAGATTATTTGATCTAACAGAATTCAAAGTTTGAAATATCTGAGGATATTGGGTTACAAAGAAATTGGGATTAGAAAATCAGAGTTTGTGGCAAAGACTTAATTCCTTTGGAAAGAATTGAACAAAGGATGTAATCTTTTACTTTGGCATATTTTTGTAAAAAGAGGTTTTTAATGTATTACAGGCTCATCATGATTTTAGAATGAATTGGGATTTTCACTTGCTGATTTGTGAAATTTATGATTTCAAACAAATGAAAATGAAATTAATTTTGAGGTTTTGGAAGATTTTGAAGAATTTAAAACCAATTAAACCTTCCTACAACGACAGACCCCCTCTTGTCTATCTCTCTCTATCTCTGTATCTCTCTCTATCTATCTATCTATCTATCTATCTATCTATCTATCTCTCTATCTATCTATCTATCTATCTGCTCCAACCCTTACGCTGAGTATCCTCCATCTATCTATCTATCTATCTATCTATCTATCTATCTATCTATCTATCTATCTATCTATCTATCTATCTATCTATCTATCTATCTTTCTATCTATCTATGGTTTAGGAACAATATAAGTTTATATATGACTGTCTGGAAGAGTACTGTCGAGGAATTGACTCAAGGTTCCCCGTATCACAGCTTGCCAACAAGATCAAAGAAAAAACCCAAAAAGACAAAAAGCATAAAAAGAACGTCTATGCCATGGAATACGCGGTAATGGGTTTGTGCCCCCTTGTACCATGTATTTTGTTTGACCCTGAGAACCTATTGCAATCTAACAACATGTATACAACTAAATATAGATAATCAAGATCCTTCACCTTTTTTTAATAATATTTTTTACTAAAACTGATTTTAGAGCCTTCGCTTAAAGGAATTGTTTATTGTTACAATGATGATGTGCTTCAAACGTTGATGTCGTTTTTAGCATTTAAAAAATAAAATTTTAGAAAGTTTTTAGTTCTTTAATGATTTCAAGGGAGAAATAGTTTTCAGTTTCTGGTTGAAAAAGGTGAATCTCGATGAACAATAAACAGTTCCTTTAAATCAGTTTTAATCACCACGACACAAGTATAAGGCCTTGAACCAGTTCGAATCCAAGGTTAAAAAATAATGTTTAAAGGTTTAAACCTGAAGTACATGTTGCATGCACAACACTGTAAACAAAATCACGATATTTAAACATTATTTTCCTCGACCACTTAATAATTAACTACAGCTCCAAACATGTTCCTCAGATCCTTGAAACCTTGAAAAATATAATTTTAAAATCCTCGAAAAACCTTGATTCGTCTGTTTGAAGGCTGCACCCCGCCCTCCCTTGTCCCCGTGTTAGTGTATATGTGTGAGGGTGTATATGTAGGAGCAGTACAAGTTTGTGTATGACACCCTGGAGGAGAGCGTGGTGTGCGGGAGCTCACACTTCTACGTGCAGGAGCTCTCCGACCGACTAAAGCAGAAATCCGTCAAGGATAAAACAAAAAAGAAGAAAATGAATGAGTATGAGAAGGAGTACGCTGTAAGTAAATAAATGGCTGGGTTTCATCATTTTTAGTAAAAAAAAGTTTTTTTTTCTAATTTTTGGACTAGTTGAGTTCTCAACAATTTATATTTGGGTTAGAAATTAAACAAATTTTATTGTGAAAAGGAAATGAACGCTTGTCAACCTGCTATTTTTTAACCTTGAAGATTTTCGCCCTAAATTACTTTAAGCTAATATGGAATGGTCTAAATTTGAAATATCAAAGGTTGCAAAGATCTAGGGATTCACATAAAAAATATGTTTTTTTTTTCAATTCTTGTAAAATAAAAAAAAGTTGATGCATTTTTCTGTTGCTTTCGTTTTCCGTGTTGTTTTTTATCATTTCATTTGAACTGGGGCAGGTTCAGTTTTTTATTTGTAAAATGTGTTTAACACTAGAAAACAGGTGTCAACTCATTTATTCAAGTTTTGCATGAAGCTAGAACTTTGTCAACTCATTTCAACATCGTTTTCAACAATTTTTAGCAAAAATATTTCCCGCTTCGTAAAACTCTACATCATGAGATCTTTGCTCTTTTTTCTGTTTTAGGTTTGAAAAAATTTTAACGTTTTTTTTGTTTGTTTGCTAGTTGGATGGTTTTTCAAGGTACATGAGGGAAACTTTACAAATTAGAATTTTAATCATGTTTAATTTTTAAGAATCTTGAGAATATTTTTGAGTCGTGTCATACTAGGAATTCGAACTGAACGGTCACTGTGGAAAGATAAAGAATTTCAGACATTCCGGCTTTTTCCTCAACTTAGAAAGAATTTTAAAATTATAGAAAAACATACTTGTTTGGTCAGTTATAAATAGATTTCAATTTGTTGTGTTTGTCAGGTTGTTGAATTAATGTTAAATTGTTGTGCCAAAAATGCCAAAAATGCCAAAAATGCCAAAAATGCCAAAAATGCCAAAAATACCAAAAATGCCAAAAATGCCAAAAATGCCAAAAATGCTAAAAATGCTAAAAATGCTAAAAATGCCAAAAATGCCAAAAATGCTAAAAATGCCAAAAATGCTAAAAATGGAAGCTTCTATATCAACTTTCTTGACGTCAAAGCATTCCGATTTTTTCCCTGAACGTTCAATCTTTTGTAAACATTGTTCTCAATGAATTGTCCTGATGATGCACTGAGGGGTGAGGCTGAAACTTAAAATATTCAGATTTATTGAAACTGGGTTAAAATGGAATATTTAGGCTCACATCAGTTCATAATTAAAATTTTTAATCGTATTTTTCATAAAAACTTTTTTCTATTTTTCAGTATGTAATTTCATTTGATCTTTAATTTGCCTTTTTAACTTTTTGTTTGTTCAGTTTGCTGTTTCTTCTTATTTTTAGTATTAGTATTAGTATTTAGTTGTGCAGTTTTATATAGGCGCGCAGTTGAATAATGATAATAAATTAATAATTATTTTAAAATTATCATCACTGAATTTATTTTTAACAATTAAATAATTTTTTTTTGTGAATTTCTGTCATTTCTGTTTTTAATGTATTTGTTACTTAAATGTTTCTGAGGATATTGAGCTAGATATCTAATATCTATGTAGTCCAATGTCGTAGGCATTAGATATTTCAAACTTCGTATTCTGATAGATCTTAATCTTAGTTTGATATATCAGAGGTGTACAACATCAGGTTGCAAAGATAAAGGGATCAGAAAATTTGAGTTTTTGCAAAGATTCAACTCCTTAATCTTTTTATGTTCATTAATAATTAATTGGTGGATAAGGTTTAAAAATTGGTTTAATTAGTTTAATTTTGAAATATATCACGATATCAAGGATTCACTAGAACACAATTTTATATTATAATGATAAAGTAATATTATTTTATATTATAATGATAAAGTGATATTATTTTATATTATAATGATAAAGTAATATTATTTTATATTATAATGATAAAGTATCTATCTATCTTTCTATCTATCTATGGTTTAGGAACAATATAAGTTTATATATGACTGTCTGGAAGAGTACTGTCGAGGAATTGACTCAAGGTTAAGTAATATTATTTTATATTATAATGATAAAGTGATATTATTTTATATTATAATGATAAAGTGATATTATTTTATATTATAATGATAAAGTAATACTATTTTATATTATAATGATAAAGTGATATTATTTTATGTGATACCGCTTAGAAAGCTATATTAATACAGATCTGTTTTTTTATCATTTAAAAAAAAAATCTGAATTTTTTATAAAATTGTTTATTTTATTATTAAAAGTTTTAAAGAAAGCATTGTCAGATTTAACAAATTCTTAACAAAAAGAGTATTAATTGACAATATTTTAAAATACATATTGAGGAATGGCTAAAACATCTAATCCATTAAAAAGTTCAATCTAACAAAATATAAATGAAATCATTCAGAATTAGTAAATAATAATTGTGCTAAAAAACTTTTAAAAATATTAAGTTTTGAAAATCTTTAAAATCTTATATATCAGAAACATTTGTTTTATTTTCCAAGATATTTCGTTAAGAGCAATATCATAATTTCTTTTCTTTTTTGTCTAAAAAGTGAAAAATAAAATGTTCTGGTAGGTATAATGGTGTTCTGTGGAAAAGTATCTGGTATCAGGGTATAATGGTGTTCTGAGGAAAAGTATCTGGTATCACGGTATAATCATTAAATATTACGTTAGCTGATCCATATAGCAGGGGGAAGGGGAGGGGGAGCAAGAGGGGAGCAACTACGACTCGAGCCGTTTTTAAATCGCCGGCTCTGAAGACTTAGATAAAAGTGCTACCTTCGATGTTATCTTGTATTGAGAAATAAATGATATCACAAAGAAAAATGCAAAGGAATTAAGTTTTTGCCTCAAACTAATTTTTGCAACCTGATGATGTGAAACTTTTATATTTCGAACTTAGACTTTTTGATCTAACATATTTCATAGTTTAAAATATTAAAGGTTTACCACATAGGGTTGCAAAGATATAGGGATTAGAAAATCAGAATTTGTTGCAAAAATCCATTTCCTTTAAAGCTGCAGGATATCTTCAACGTAAGACCAAAGGCTGAAAAAAATCCGCACAGTCTTCTCTGAAGTCTTATTATTTGTTGGTAACCCTGTATATAATACTAAACTCTGATATTATTAAAATTCATACTTTGTGAGAAATACAAAAATGTTTTTGTATTTTAAACATAAGATATATAATTTGTACTCTGTACATTTTACTTCCTTCTTTTCGATTTAAAAGAAAAAAATGTAAAATTTGTGAACGATGTAAAATACTGTCAAAAAAAAGATAATTCTGTTTTTGTGCTCTTTTTCTATGTTTACATAATGCATGTGTTATTTAGTTAATTATAGCTTTAGAATTTAGATTGCATGAATTTTTTTGATTTCATTCTATACATATGTACATATAATTGTATTATGATATAAAGTGTTAAAGTGAATTTAAATTCTATGGATTATGTAAACAACTCCAAAAGTTGAAAATTTATTTTGCTCTTAAATACATGGTCAAAATATTTCTGTAACCAGACTCCAAGGTTTACTATTGGTGACTGTGCAGCTGGGCATAGAGCTGATAATAGAGATAAAAATAGAAACGTTCTCATTGTTCCACGTAAGTTTTTTCATCCCCATCTCTATTTATTCAGTATTTTAAGCATTCATCGTCATCCCTTTTTTTTATTTTGACGCATATCCCTAATTATTCAAAATTTTAAACATTCATCCCCATTCGTAGTAAAATACTTTTCATTTTGACCCACATCCCTAGATATTCAATATTTTACATTTTAATCATCAAAAATTTTCATATTTTCATACCCATCTCTAGTTTTTAATGATTTACATTTCCACCGCCATTCCTAATAATTCTAAATTGTAACTTTTCATTCCCATCCCAATCCCTATTTCAATACTATTTATATACTCGATCCCAATCCCTAGTTTCAACACCCCTTTCATCCATCCCTAGTTGTTCCATTTTCTTCCCAGATATTAAAGATTAATCTGTTATTATAATCTTGTTGGCTCAGTTTCATTTGCCATAATACTTTTGCCATAATACTTTTGCCATAAGTAACACTTGCCATAAGTCACACTTGCCATAAGTCACACTTGCCATAAGTTACACTTGCCATAATGGTTACACTTGCCATAATTACACTTGCTATAATTACTTTTGTCATAATTTTCTAATTTCTAAAAAGATGAAAATCGGTCTTTTTTTTATTGCAAATGCGGGAAATTTTCCCATGAAAATTCCCAACTTTAGTTTTCTCATTGTTTTAAAACAGAACAGTTGACACAACTTCAGCTCCATATTTTCTCACAATGGAGGACCCTTTGGTGACCTTTGAGACCACAAGTAAGGGTAAACCAATGGTTCTCGAGACAGCAACAACTACACCTATGTAGCCAATGCCTCGTCTACAGAAGTGAAATATTGGAAATGTTCGGTTAAAATGTGCTCAGCTAGAATTCGAACCCGAATTTCTCCCTCCAACCTATGAGAGGATTGCTAACATTGTCCTACAGTATAATACTCTTCCCATAGAAGAGTGCCTAAACCTGATAGCTCATGAACTGTCTCTGTATTAGATTTGTAATTTGTATTCAATTTGTAATTGTAAAAGAAAATATAAATAAACATGTTTGTTAATTCAAACCATATTTAATTTTAATTATGGCAAGAGTAATTATGGCAAATGTAATTATGGCAAGTGTAACCATTATGGCAAGTGTAACTTATGGCAAGTGTGACTTATGGCAAGTGTTACTTATGGCAAATGTATTATGGCAAATGTAATTATGGAAAAAATAATTATGGCAAAAATATCATGGCAAATGAAACTGAGCCATCTTGTTTTTTAATATTAAATTAATGTATCAATATAATTAATAATTAGTTTGTAATTAATTAACATCAGTTCTATATAATTAAGACCTGATTAAAATATTGATCCTAATCTCTAATTTGTTATATCTATCGTCATCCAAAACTAATTTATTCGAAAATTAGATAACAACCTCAGGGGCGTATTCAGAAAATTGTCCAAGGTGGGGTCTAAATTTTTTTCTTACCAGGGGGGGCTCAGCACCCTTAGGGGCATGAAAACCCCCTGAAATCAATAGATTTCACTGGTCCAGGGGGGCTTAGCCCCAATAGCCCCCCCCCCGAATACGCCTCTGAACAACCTGTTTCTTCTTACTAAAATATTTCTATTTTCAGCTGATAATTTCCGGCCTTACATCACATCCTTCCAGGGAAATAACTGCACTGATTATATAAACGCAGTATTTGTTGACGTAAGTAAAATCTTTAGACAAAATATGAAAAACTGTTGACAATTTATTTCAAAAATTGCAATTAAATTAAACTCGTAAGATCTAAACCTTCTAGGGTTTGCTTCCAAAAGGAATTGATCACAAGTCTGAAACTGTAGTTTTCTAATCCTTACATCTTTGCAAACTTATGTCGTAGACCTTTGACATTTCAAACTAAAAAATATGCAGCTTTTGATCGAATAGTCAAACATTTTGATATAATGAAAAGGCAATTTACATCATCCTGTTGCAAAGAAAGAGGGTTAGAATATAGAAATATCGAAGAAAAATAATTAGTTCCTTTATTTTGACGGTTATTTGGTCGCTAGGTGTCTCTGCTTACGATGCATCTGGAGTTACGCGTGGAATAGACTCCAACGACACCTAGCGACAAAAAAATCGTAGTTTTAAGTACATAATATATGAGCAAGTAAAAAATATTATGAAATACCAACTATATACAAATGCAACGAAAAATTATCGATGATTATAGGTTGTAATATCTGAATGATTTGTGCGGAATTAAATTGATTTTTTTTATGATCCGAGTCGAATGCTGTAACTTTCTGAATTTGTATGGACGCCGCGTTTTTTGGTATGAGTCGTTTTAAACAATTTTATCCTGATAGACGCAACAGATAGAAGTAAGATAAGTACCGATCACCATCGATAATTTTTCATTTTTCGCGAACACTCCCTTTCATAGAGACTGAATTTTATTTAAACACCACATGTGCATTGCATATTAGCATAGCCCAATTTTTCAATGGCATTAGCATAGCCCAATTTTTCAATGGCAATAATGTTAAAAAGTAGACCACTAAATTTAATGTTAGGGGTCGTTATCTAAAAGATAATATCTATCACTTTATATAAATGCCAATCCGTCTATCTATCTATCTATCTATGTAAATATCTATCAATCTATCTGAATCTACAGAAAAGAACACTACAGTTTCCACCAAGTTTTCAAGATGAAAAACTAAACCTTTTGAAAAGAAAATATTAAAGATAAAGAACTTAATAATATGTCTCTTCTAGTCCTTCATTAGTCTTACTGATTTAGTCATCTAGTCCTAAACGTATTTAACTATCCCTGTAGAAGTTTACTTTTTCATTATTCAAAAGTTTCAAAAGTTTCAAGTTTCAAAATTTCAAGTGACCCTGAATTTACAATCCAGATTTTAAACTTTTTCTGATCTCACTGTTTTTCTAACTGAAAATTAATAGTTTTTAGTCGCAGTTTTTCTACACATGTGAGCAGAAGAAAACAAGAAAAATAATTGACAAACTCAATTTTTTTTCTTTATATCCATCCAAGTAAACCACGAAAAGAAAATATAGATATTCCACAGTTTAAAAACATCTGTCTCTCCCATTGTTACTTATTAACTGTTTAAAGGATACCGTCACGAATTAGGTAAGGAACTCTTGAAATGGCGGATAGCTTGGAATTACGTTGACAGTCCCTTTAATTCTTGAAGTCCTATTTTCCTGCAGTCCCTTTAATTCTTGAAGTCCTATTTTCCTGCAGTACCTTTAATTCTTGAAGTCCTATTTCCTGGAGTCCGGGAGAAAATATGTATTTTAGAAACCCCTGGAATGTACAGTTTACCATGAACTTAAAACTAAACTACATCAAACTACATCTTGAAAAGAGAACATTTGGCAGTTTTACAGAGTAAAATACGACATTTTTATTTTGTTTCAAAGAGTTAAGTGTGACATGTTTAATATGGTTTTAAAAAGTAAAGTGCGACATGCTTGATGTCATTTCAAAAAGTAAAGTGCGATATGCTTGATATGATTTCAAAGAGTAAAATAAAACATGCTTGATATTATTTCAAAGAGTAAAGTGTGACATGTTTGATATGGTTTTAAAAAGTAAAGTGCGACATGTTTGATATCATTTCAAAAAGTAAAGTGCGACATGCTTGATATGATTTCAAAGAGTAAAGTGCGACATGTTTGATATGATTTCAAAGTGTAAAATGCAACATACTTGATATGATTTCAAAGAGTAAAGTGCGACATGTTTGATATGATTTCAAAGAGTAAAGTGTGACAAGTTTGAAATGGTTTCAAAGAGTAAAGTGTGACAAGTTTGAAATGGTTTCAAAGAGTAAAGTGTGACAAGTGTGATATAGTTTTAAAGAGTAAAGTGCGACATGTTTGATATGATTTCAAAGAGTAAAGTGCGACATGTTTGATATGATTTCAAAGAGTAAAGTGTGACATGTTTGAAATGGTTTCAAAGAGTAAAGTGCGACATGTTTGATATGATTTCAAAGAGTAAAGTGCGACAAGTTTGAAATGGTTTCAAAAAGTAAAAAACAACATGTTTGATATAGTTTTAAAGAGTAAAATAAAACATTTATAAATGGTTTCAAAGAGTAATATACGACATTTTACAGATAGTTTCAAAAGAAATTTTACGATATTTTTGATATAGGTTTCATACAATGCAGTTAATTGAGAAGGTTCCTCTTAATATCTAATCTATGTATATATATACATATATTTATTTATATATATACATATGTATAAAGTAGTGTTTTTGTTTGTTTGTATGTCTGTTCATAACTTAGAAACCCCTTGACTGATTTGTCTAAACATTTAAACCAGTTAAACCAGGGGGATGTTCTTAGTTTAAAATGTCTGAATTGACTGGGTCGAATATTCTAGAAAAAGTTTAGTTTCCTGGCAAAGTTGAGTTTCCAGGCTAGTTTATCATATAACTGAGTCAAAGTGTAATTATTGAACTAGAAAAGTTTATGATAAAGTTGTAAAAAGTTTGATGTATGATTTATGGCGAATGAATGGTCGGACTCCAGAATATGTATTTCTGAGTTAACCATAAAGGATGAGACTGTAATGACGACTCAAAACGTTTAAAATATGACAAATTTTGGTTTCTGCCTTCAATTTAGTATTTTAATGTTTTACTAAATATATATTAAGCACATAAATAATATACTATGTAGATAAATATACAGATAGAAAGNGATCGATCTGATGACGCAAATACAAGCGTAGTTTTAAATATTTAAAAATAAGGAGATTAGACTGCAGGACGGATATTGTAAAAAAAATACGGAGATGCGACTGCAGGACGGATATTGTAAAAAATACGGAGATTAGACTGCAGGACGGATATTGTAAACAAATTTTTTTTATTGTTTTTGAACTTTTGAAAGGTTACTCAAAAATCTTTCTGGTTTTACGAAGGAATTATGTTTTTGCCACGAACTTTGATAATCTAATCCCTATATCTTTGCAACCCGATGTTGTAGACCTTAGATTTTTCAAATATAAAACGTTTTTTACTTATATTTTTTTTAAATAAGTTTTTTGGCAAGTTAACGAACGTATTGTAACAGTTGAAAACCATTAAAATAATCTTGTGTAAAAAAACATAAGATTTTAATTATCAAATACTAAAGTTATTGTCTTAATATTACCTTGAATTTGCCTAACAAAATTTAAGATTTTTAATCGATTGAGCGAGATCGGGTTCAAGTAAATGACTATTAACGGTTGAAGGATTTAAATGATCCAAAAATTCAAGGTTCTACAATTCAAGGATTTGCTTATCAATTCACACTTCAATCTAAAATGGGGACTGCTCTACTTAATTTGTACCGGTTTGACCCTATCCCCGCACTGTACTAAGATTAAATGCGCTCCATAAATGGTTATATTTGAATAGAATATTTGAATTTTTTTTCTAGAAACCTCTTTGTAAATAACTTTGATAATACTTTTTTCAGGGATACACACACCCCCTAACTTGTCAAGTCACTAAGATTCATTTATCTTATAGCATGGGGTTGTTTCATGGATTTCTTTTAATTCTTTTTTACTAGAAAGCTCTTTGTAAATAATTTTGATAATACTATCAAATTTTTCAGGGATACACACACCCCCGTGAGTATATTGTAACTGAGTGGCCTGTAGTGAGTACATGCAGTGATCTCTGGTCCCTGGTCTACGATCATGATTGTTCTGCAGTAGTTGTACTTTGTAACCCCTCACCAGGGGTCAGTAATGTAAGTACTTTGTAACTTTAAAAAATAATTCATGGACAAATATTGTTCATTATTTATCATTATTATTATTATTGTTATTATTATTTTCATTATATTATTATATACTATAATAATTTATTAAGATTATTAATATTTTTAATTTAAAAAACATCAGTAATGTTTGATAGCTAAAGAATCGCTGCATTGTGTTAAAATGGCAACAGCAATAGCAATCAAATATCGAAGATGAGTTGAAACTCGTGTTTTAATTCTCATTTCAACTTTTAACCAAATCCTGGATTCCAGTATGTTGTTGTACCTTCTAAATGGCCCGAAATATCAAGAATTTGGTCACGATTTCAATTTTCTCCATGTTATCACAATTTATGAAATATCTTTCTACTTTTTTACGATCTAAAGAACTGAAAAAATTGCAAATCTTTGTATTATGATAAAATTTAGGACAATTTTGCTGCTGTGACACTTTCTAGAATATAAATAGTTTTAAACAATTCATCAGATACATGATTCTGTTTTTAGCGGATAATTTTTCTGTATCACCCTAAACCAACAGCACTAAAATATCAGGCTTTTTGAAGTTATCAAATTGTACAAAAACTCTTATCAATTTAAGTTAATTTACATCGAGAAATAAATCTAGCAAGTAAATCATGTTTTTTTTTATAAAAATTGATTGTGTCCCATAGTTTGGACATAATGCATAGCAATGACGACATTCTTCAAGAAACTCAAAAGATCAAACTTTAGCATATTTATCATGCATAACAAAGACGACATTTTTCAAGATACTTTCAAGCTACTCAAGAGATATAAATTGACATTTCAAATTCTAACCTCAAAAGGCCAAAATATTCACAATTATTGAGATATTTTTGTTAAAAATAGTGGAAACTCAGTTAGAACTTTTAATAAACAAATCGGCGAATCTGTTTATCATCAATTCTAGAAAATGTTTACAGGTTTCGAAATCTTAAATCTTACCTTAAATCTAATCATGAGTGATGCTTGAAAAGTGCGAATTGAACATATTAATTCTTTGCGTTTAAATTCATTATTTTAGTCAATAATTAGCTTTTGTATTTAATTTTCTCAAATGTGCCAGTTTGGTCAAGTAACAACAGAAAATACGTTTTTTGTACAATTTTATAAATCCAAGAAATCTGATATTTGAGGTTAGTGTCAAGCTTTTGATTTTACAGTTCACTGACAGAAAAAATTGTGTGTTTAATTCTAATAATGTTATTGATATAGTGTCATTATTACATCATTATTTATTCATTGCCTTTTGTTTAATAGAGTGGATAAGTAGAAGTTTTTCTAAGAATCCAAAAATATAATATTTAGTCCTATCCGTCCTTTTGTAAAATATAATATATTAGTCCTATCCGTCCTTCTGTAAAATATAATATATTAGTCCTATCCTTCCTCCTGTAAAATATAATATTTTAGTACTATCCGTCCTTCTGTAAAATATAATATTTTAGTCCTATCTGTCCTTCTGTAAAATATAATATTTTAGTCCTATCCGTCCGGCCTTCTGTAAAATATAATATTTTAGTCCTATCCGTCCTTCTGTAAAATATAATATTTTAGTCCTATCCGTCCTTCTGTAAAATATAATATTTTAGTCCTATCCGTTCTTCTGTACAATATAATATTTTAGTCCTATCCGTCCGTCCTTCTGTAAAATATAATATTTTAGTCCTATCCGTCCTTCTGTAAAATATAATATTTTAGTCCTATCCGTCCTTCTGGCCAGAAAACCAGAAATCTAAGAAGTATGGACAAGTGTTTACAGTGGAATATGTTTCTCACAACCATTATCCGAATATTAGGTAAACTGGGATAAATATTTTTTATTCTGACAAAAACTTGATTTTTTAATATTAGAAACTACTATTTAAGTAATCTAGACTTAAGGAAAAAGAACAATTTCTTGCTAATCTAATCTGCCAAGGTTACTAAAATTTGCTCCCGCCGTTTACCCGCACTTGAACAATTTTACCGGGAAACTAAATTTTCGCTATTAAAGTCGACTCATTCAATTTAGAATCTTAAAATCAAGTTAAGGACATTCCCGTGGGTCTCCCGAGTTCCCCAATCAAATTTTGAGGCAAATCAGTCCAGGGGTTCCTAAATGATCGGACAAACAAACACACAGACTGACAAACAGAGATTACAACTTTATATTTATAGATTACTACATGGTATTACCTTGGTATCTTGTTTCATATGAGAAAGTAAATTTATTTGGTTTCATGCAATTCAAAACATTTTTGTTCCAGTAGTTCATGTGAAATCCATGTCAGATTTCAATCAATTTTCTTAAAAGAATTGAGTTTTTGCCACAAAGATAAATGTTTTACCCTCTAAATCTTTACAACCTGATTGTGTAAACCATGATATATCAAACTTGTACACTACTACATATATGGACTAGAATTTATAAATTGAAATATCAAAGGTCTACGAATACAATTAAAGATATAGGGATTAGAAAATTCGAGGTTGTAGCAAAAACTCAATTCTAGTTCAAACATTTTTATTTTTCAGATCCTGGATCTTCAAGATCAACAAGAAGATTGTTTCTTTAACAGAGTTGATGGCTGGAGTTAAAGCTCCAAGCAAAACTTGTCAACTGTTCCAACTCATGTGCTGGCCACAGGTAGTTATATACTGGATACAGGTAGTAATATATACTGGATACAGGTAGTAATATATACTGGATACAGGTAGTTATATACTGGATACAGGTAGTAATATATACTGGATACAGGTAGTTATATACTGGATACAGGTAGTAATATACTGGATACAGGTAGTAATATATACTGGATACAGGTAGTTATATACTGGATACAGATGGTAATATATACTGGATACAGTTATATACTGGATAAAGGTAGTTATATACTAGATAAGTAACATACTGGATACAGGTAGTAATATAATGGATACAGGTAGTAATATACTGGATACAGGTAGTAATATACTGGCCACAGATAGTAATATATACTGGATACAGATAGTAATATACTGGATACAGGTAGTAATATGCTGGACACAGGTAGTTATATGCTGGATACAGGTAGTTATATACTGGATACAGATAGTAATATATACGGGATACAGGTAGTTATATACTGGATAAAGGTAGTTATATACTAGATAAGTAACATACTGGATACTGGTACAAATATACTGGATACAGATAGTAATATTCTGGATACAGATAGTAATATACTGGATACAGGTAGTAATATACTGGTTACAGCCACAGGTAGTAATATACTGGATACAGATAGTAATATATACTGGATACAGAAAGTAATATACTGGATACAGGTAGTAATATACTGGATACAGGTAGTTATATACTGGATACAGGTAGTTATATACTGGATACATGTAGTAATATACTGGATACAGGTAGTAATATACTGGATACAGGTAGTAATATACTGGATACAGATAGCAATATATACTGGATACAGATAGTAATATACTGGTTACAGGTAGTAATATAAACTGTATACAGGTAGTAATATACTGGTTACAGGTAGTAATATACTGGATACAGGTAGTTATTTACTGGATAGAGGTAGTAATATACTGGATACAGGTAGTAATATATACTGGCCACAGGTAGTAATATACTGGATACAGGTAGTAATGTATACTGGATACAGGTATTAATATACTGGATACAGGTAGTTATATACTGAATACAGGTAGTTATATATACTGGATACAGGTAGTAATATACTGGATACAGGTAGTTATATACTGTAGACAGATAGTAATATATTCTGACTACGTTTTGAAAAGTAACTTGTATGCTATGCAATTGTTATATCTTTGCTCTTAAATAAGCTCTTGTATTTGTCTAGGGATACAAGGTGCCTACCTCGACAAATGCTCTGGTTGAACTTATGAATATGGTTGAAAGATGGAGACAGAGAACTGATTATGGACCTGTCGTAGTTGTTAGTCAGGACGGTATATCCAGGTTAGTTCTATAGTTAGTCAGGACGGTGTATCAAGGTTAGTTCTATATAGTTAGTCAGGACGGTATATCCAGGTTAGTTCTATATAGTTAGTCAGGACGGTATATCCAGGTTTGTTCTATATAGTTAGTCAGGACGGTATATCCAGGTTAGTTCTATATAGTTAGTCAGGACGGTATATCCAGGTTTGTTCTATATAGTTAGTCAGAACGGTATATCCAGGTTTGTTCTATATAGTTAGTCAGGACGGTATATCAAGGTTAGTTCTATACAGTTGGTCAGGACGGTATATCCAGGTTTGTTCTATATAGTTAGTCAGGACGGTATATCAAGGTTAGTTCTATATAGTTAGTCAGGACGGTATATCCAGGTTAGTTTTATATAGTTAGTCAGGACGGTATATCCAGGTTAGTTCTATATAGTTAGTCAGGACGGTATAGCCAGGTTAGTTCTATAGTTAGCCATGACAAAATATCCAGGTTAGTTCTATAGTAAGTCAGGTCGGTATAGCCAGGTTAGCTCTGTAACAAATATAGTAATAACACCGATATCTTTGAAACCTGAACAAACCTGTAAATATATTACGTTATAATCACCTGACCGTATTATCGGTCAATTTATACTTCATCTGTACCTTATAATTAAATTTTAGTTGAATATAGACTCTGTTTACGGGCGGTTAGAACTACCATTGCCAGTGGCGTAAATAAGGGGGGTTATTGGGGTTATTTACCCACCCTAGAATCCTGGGGGTAATTACCCCCCCCCCCCTAGAATCCTGGGTTTGATTATCCTTCCCCCCCCCTAGAATTTGTTTTTAAAAAAAGGTTGATTTTAAAATGTAATCTATATATAAATTTGGCTTGTCTGTTTGTTTGTTTGTTTGGGTGTCTGTTTGTTTGTTTGTCTGTCTGTTTGTTTGTATCCAATAAACGTCAAAACGGCTGAACCGATCGGGCCCAAATTTTTTGTGGGACATCTAGGGACCCCAGGGAAGGTTTATGAATGATTGAAATTTTAAATATTTGTCTCAATCAAAATTCGATCTTCATTAAATTTTTTAAAATTTTGAAAATCCACGAAATTTTTTGTGAAAATCCGCGAATTATTTTTGTTTTGTTTTACGATGTATACAAAGAGAACATTGTTCACAATTAATTTAGAAGATGGGCGCGAAGCGCCCTTTAAGGCTAGTATCTTTAAAATTTGCACGACAATAATTTAAATGTGATGATACTTAAGATATACCAGATTTTAAGGTCAACATATTCTAGATGATTCTAATTTCTAAAGTAATAGTCGATGGCATTACAATTAGATGTTTTTTTTAATAGAAAAAAAGTGTATGGGCAATTAAGAATATATTTAAACTTTAAATAATGTCATTTCCATATTAGATTTATTTAAGATCTTAACACACTACATTGACGACAAGAAACTTTTAGAAATTAGAAATAAGCAGAGGCGCAACTAGGGGGGGGGGCGGCCGCGCGCGCGCCCTCCCCTAGCACCTACACCTTCAGAGTGAAAAAAAGATTGGCGAATATCAGTCTCACAGGAGTCAGAAATAATAAAACCAAAAGAATTATTGTGAAAAATTGTATTCTTCTATGGTTAGTTTAAAAAAATATATTTTTATCTTTCTGAATTCTCAAGGCAAAGGCTATTATAAACATTTAATGTAAAAATGTTTCTAACTGTATTAAAACTTTGAATTATTTTTAAAATATAATAAAGTTTGTAATATCAAAGGTTTACACCACTCGGTGCAAAGATTTAGGGATTAGAATTTTTGAGTTTGTGGCAAAAACTCAGTTCCAAATCTAGAGAACATTCTGAGACTGAGCCTGGCAAACTTCTTACTGATTATCATATTTAATAGTCTGTTTATCTTCTTTAAACGAACTTCTATAAAATCGAAAATGAAATAAGATTATGGTTTATGAATGTTGGTTAGAATGATCAATCATAAATTCAATAACTTCAGGAGAAGGTAACATTATTTGTCCTTTTTCAATGTAGATGATTAAAATTATAAATGTTTTTTGACTTTTTTTTCAGAATATATAAATAATTATTTCTTGTAATTATATCTGTAATTAAACAAGGTACTCAACAAATTTTCTTTGGTGCTCCGCGCACACATGAAAATAATTGATTGACTCATATCGTTAATTTTACAGTTGTTCAAAAGTATTAATTTTTTAAAAACTACAAGAAAAAAAACGATTTGAATTGAACATAGCCAAATCTGCATGCAGCAACTGAAAATTTCCTTTTTTCGACATCAAACCCTTAAAATAACACTTTTATTTTAAAAAAACATTTCTAAAGAAGGGTCAAGCCCCCACCCCACACTTACATGAATATAAATTCAGTATTTTACAGATTTTTGTAGTTAATGTAAAATGAATGACTTTAATGAAGGATATAAATCAAGGTGAAAGCTAAAAGGTAGGAATTTGATGGAGTAAATGCCAGAAATGAGTGGAAAATGCAAATCAAACCCAACTAAAACCAATAATTTGATATACATCATAAAAATTTGGCGCGCTTCGCGCGCAACATTAAAAGAATTACCCCCCCCCCCCCTACAGAATCCTTATTTACGCCCCTGACCATTGCTCAGTAGAGAGTCTGTCAGCTTTGTGTGTCGATAAATAAACATTAAAACCTACCATTGTTCGGTAGAGAGGATAGAGTTTAATAGCTTTGTGTGTGGATAGATACACACTTAGACCTACCAGGGTTCGGTAGAGAGGATAGAGTTCGATATCTTGTGTGTGTGGATAAATATATACTTACAGAGAAATATTGGAGTAAGGCATTTATTACAGCTCTATATTCTGGTGGCAGTATGCTGAGGTGCAGCAAGGATGCCTCTATCTGAATACTAAAACTGTATTTTAGTAATCTTTAATCTTATCAGGGTCTTTCCTTACAATATGTTTCCTAATATGCTTTAATATTAGGATTAAAATATTAGCAAAAAAGAGGAATAAATGAAAAAAAGAATAAATCAATAAATACATAAGTATGGAAGAATGTAAGAAAATAGATAAATAAATAGTTAATAAAAATAGTTAATAAATACGTAAACAAATCGATGAATAAACAATACTTTTAATAAAGATAAAAATAAATAATTAGATAAAAATGATGAATGGGTGAATGAATGAATGAATGAATGAATGAATGAATGAATGAATGAATGAATGCGTATCTAGGTGTGGTGTTTACTGTGCTGCGAATGCGTGTATAGAGCAAGTAATCCAACATGGCGAAGTTGATGTATTCCAAGCTGTCAAAACAGTCAGGAGACATAGACCTCAACTTGTAGAGAACCTGGTAACATTTCTTAAAGGGATTGATCATGAAATTTTGGAGTTGGATTTTCGATTTTTTTTATTTATTGCTTTTAGGTATTTTCCCAAAGGCATTTTCTCAAGGTCAACTTTACAAGTGACAATTTTCTAAGTAGCAACTTCCCAAATGTTCAATTTCCAAAAGGTTAGGTGTGAGGCGCCGCGCCGTAGGCTGCAAAGGGCCGAGCGCTATGTCTAGGATGGGTTAGGGGGCAGAGCGCTACGGTTAGGACAGAGTTGCCGCTTCTAAAATCTATTCATTCACTTTGAGAAAGGCCTGGGTTAAAAATGCCGGCTTGGATTGGAGTCAGTAAAATTTTTAGATCAGCTGCGGATAATTTTCCTAAACGTTCATTTAAGAAACATTGCAGTTTAGAAAATATGCTAATCAAGACGCAAGTTTTATCTCTAATAAAAACTTTTAAGAAAGTTCGAAAATTCAAAAAAAAATTTATACGATAAATTGACTGTAAATTCTCTCTTTGAGACTCCATTGTGCCTTTTAACTTTTTTTTAATTAAAATTTAATGATTCTCGCAGCTGCAAGCTAAGAGGCAATTATTCTTTGTAAAAATAAAGTTTTTGTCAAGTATACTAAAATATACCCTTTCTCCGACCCGGGGGTTATAAACTTTTTTCTTGTCAAAGAACAATTAATTTAACCTCTTTTAGTAAAAAAAAAGATCAAAAACATAAAAAGCCAATTAAAAATCTGTTATTGGAAGTTTTTTAAATATCCAACCCTAAGATGTATACTGAAGAAGGAACAGAATTTGATTTTATTTATTAAAAACTAGTTTGTGAACCCAGCTCAGACTGGAAATTAATTTTACATATAAAAATCAAGCAAATTCTCATCAAAGTGCTATAATCAAAATTTTAATCAAATCGGTTCATGATTTTTTATTCAAACAGAGATTTTCTTAACCTCAGAGATTACTACTTTATATACAATTGTCGTTGCTTCTATTAATATAAAAATATAATAAAGTCAATTTTTCTAAATGATTTCTAATATTTTTTTTTCAAATTACAAGTTTATAAGTACACAAAGAGAAGCTGTTAAGTGACAGCTTTCCTTTGTTTCGATGCTTATGTGTAACGTATATCCATGCTGTTTAATAGCTTGATAGAAATGAAAAGTCGTCTTTATTGTATATGTATTTAAAGATGTTTTTTTTTATTTTAGACGGAGTACAAGTACTGCTATGATCTTGTACTACACTATGTACTTCACTATCTACACAAGGAACAAACAAAATGACGTCACTAGAGAAAATCTGTAAAGTTTGCAAGAAAAAATATTTAACACTTTTTTCGTCCTGATCAATATCTTTCTCCTTTAAAATAAATATTATAAAACACTTGGACAATATAACTATTTGACCTATATACACCATGATATTTACAAATTCACCCATAAAGAAGAGACTCTTCTAGAGACGACCTTTAAGTTTATTTTTTATTTAAAGCTTCATCAAATATGTTTTTATAATTAGAGTGAGCAAAATTCAAAGATAAACTTTGTACAGTCGTTTCTAAAACCTCCTCCAACCCTGTATACGCATATTTAAATGATTGAATATAATGTTAGCGGATTTCTGACAGTTAAGAATGTAAATAATGTCGTCTTTGATTTTTCTTGTTTCTTTGTATTCCTTTAATATTTTGAAAAGAAATAAGAACATGTTTAACCGTCATTCCTATACGAAACATTTTCATGACAATTTTTTTAGGATTTTTTGCTAAATATTTCATAATTCCAGAGACAATGGATAAAAACCTCTATTTTGTGAAAACTGTAAATACGAATTGTATTTATGTTATTCAAAATTATATTATATAATGGATATATATATTAGTGTGTTAACAAAATTGTAATCTTAATATAAATAGTTTTATAAATATGTACATATACAATACATATAATTGCTGAATGCAGTGGGAGTCAATGTAGATGATACGTGGAAAACGACATTAAAAAGTTCTGTCATATATTCGTAAATACTTGAAAGTGACTTTTAATTCTTATTTGGTGTTTGACAATTAGATTAGGTAAAAAGTTTAACCAGATGTCACACAACAATAAACATCGGAAATAAGAGAAGCCATTGAAATTGTCTTCAATCATTTCAGAAATTTACATATAACAATTTTTTCTAAAAAAAACACTGAAATGGCTGAACCAAACGATTTAACGGTCAAAATTTAAAAATGTTGCCTGGAAATTATCCATTTTGAAAATCCGCTTAGTAAAACAGAAAAATCCGTGTGTTTTGGAGAACGGTGAAATTTTTCGCTTAAAAGGCAACCGTTAAAACCGTTAAAACCGTTGTTAGAAAAAGAGTTGCCAAAAAGAGGAGCCAAGAAATTGAAAAAATAGAATTTAGGCTAAAATTCTTGGTATGAATTCAAAAGTTCAAATGAGGAAAAACACATTTTTAAAATGATCGAATAAGTGGAAAATTGTGTTGATGATTCTAGAATGATCGATATATATAATCTGGCCATAATACTGTGTACTTTCATTATTGCATACAGCTTGCTCAGCCTGTTAAACAATTACAATAAACTTTAACTGGGTCGTTTTCTAAATTACATGTTTATTAACTCTCACTGTATTAATGCTATAACAGAGAATAATATTTTTTATATCATCTATTTTTCCTGAAAAATATCAGGGCCTAATATCTAGTATACTAGTATAGCTTTATAGCTTGCATAGCTTTAAATCACGCTTACTGCTTAAAAACACACAAAATTTTTATCCTTTAAAAGTTTACGTTTTGTATCAAAATTGTAATTATATTACCCTGTGCGTGAAATTGGTTAAATTTAATTATGTTATTTCTTTATATCAATTTTGTTCGTAAAAAATCTCTAACCTTTCCTTATTTTTTGTTTATTTTTCAGAAATTTATGCTTTTCCATTTTTTAGCAAATTTTATTTTACAATTCAAGCAATTTCTTTGAAACCAATATTGAAATATTTAAACAGTTCCTTTATATCACAATTTACAACACTTCTGCACCTTGACAAATTCATTTCTAGATATAAACTAAAAGTTTTAAATTAACTGTTCACTATTCACTATTCACTATTATGTTAAGTTTAAGTTTTGCATCCCTGGTGTTATTTATAATTATTGTTTTACATATAAACCTATACATACCCCTTGAAGCTTGTAAACATTATAAACATAAAATAGTTTATTCAAATATATTTAAGCATTATGTTGAAAAAAATTTTAGTGTAGTAATAATTTTAACCTCCATTAAAGAGTCATATTATTATTATTATTTTTGAATAAAACTTTCTGTCATCTCAATTTTTGAATGGAGTGTCTCTTGAAATACCGTGGAATCAAAGTTTTTAACAATCAACAGTCGAGAGTAGATTATACTGGTACTTAAGTCGGACCAAAGTGTCTTCATGAAAAAGATTATAAAGTTAGAGTACACTAGGTTAAGCTTAAGATGGATGGGAGAAGGAGTAGATTGGGTTATGATGGATGGGAGTAGGAGTAGATTTATCTAAGTTGGATGGGAGTTGGAGTAGATTGGGTTTAGTTGGATGGGAGTAGGAGTAGATTGGGTTTAATTGGATGGGAGTAGGAGTAGATTGGGTTTAGTTGGATGGCAGTAGGAGTAGATTGGGTTTAGTTGGATGGGAGTAGGAGTAGATTGGGTTAAGTTGGATGGGAGTAGGAGTAGATTGGGTTTAATTGGATGGGAGTAGGAGTAGATTGGGTTTAGTTGGATGGCTGAAGCACAAGGTTTGTTTAAGATGGATAGGATATTTGGTTTAGAAATGTTTGGATGTCAGTTTCAGATCTCTCTCTCTGCGCATTATTTATTCAACCCTGATATTGTAAAGGAGAGGAGAAGATTAAACATATTAAACAGAAGAGACTTAAAGCAAAAATTTACCCATCGAGAAGAGAATACATCTTTTCCTTCCCCCCCCACCCCTTCTTCTCCTTCTCCTTTTCTTCTCCTGCTCCTTCTCCTCCTGCTCCTCCTCCTCGTCCTACTTCACCTCCTTCTCCTCCTCCTCAACCTCCTCTTCCTCTTCCTCCTCCTCTGAATTAGGTTTATTATCCTCATTTTGCAATTTCCGGTAGAAAACCTAGGAAATCTTTAATCTGAAATTGATGAATCTTTGTTGTTTATGGTTTCAACAATTTTTCTAAGGGATAGTTCAGATGGTTCAGATAGAAACCTGGTACTTTAATTGGGTTAAATAGGTCATTCATTCTCAACAAATTTTACATAAAATTAGATTTATAGATTTTATTTGGTTTGTGTAACCAACGGGTTGAAGATAAGATAAGAAATATTTTGTTGCTAAAATTACACGTAAAAATTATAACGTTACAGGCAACAAAATGTGCAACTATTTATGTTGTTTACTATATTTATGTATTATAGCAATTAGGAAGAGATTAGCTTTCGCTGTTTTGGGTATTATTCCCACCTAATTAATATTAAAACGTTTACACTATGATGAATATTCTGAAAATTTAAAATAAGTCAGGGATTACTAGTCAAATTTAGAGAGACCGAGGTGCAGCATAAAAAAATAATTGTCAGTTTTCATGTGTAGTACATATAACGGAACAAGATTCAGCATGTGCAATAATCTACCAATATTTATAACTATTACATTCATTATATTAATTTGCAATATGGATTTTAAGATAAAACGCTTTTTTGATGTTGATGTCAGGATATTTTAACATGAAAAATAATGTTATCTTGAAATATTGAGTTTGAATGAGGTAGTTAACGTCAAGGTAACGAGAGCTGAAAGGTCTCCTAATGCCATTGCAGCTTTTTATCCAAAATTTAGAAAATTGTAAACTAAAAACGATGTAACCAATAATGTTTTATTCAACATTTTTTACTAGTTTTTATTGCATTTTCTGGTAATAATTATAATAATGTTAATGATTGAAATATTGATGATAATTAATGATGATAATAAAGATGATATAATGAAGAGAACAATAATAATAATAATGATAACTGAATTACCTTGTAGACCTCTAAAATCCCGTCTTCTCTTCCCAACCTTCTCCCTTCTTCTTCTAACCCTTTTGATCTAGTGTTGAAACTCAATATAAGAAACGGAATTGCCAGATTTGTTTGAATTCAATTTTAACGAGACAATATGTCACAGGAAACACATTTCAGAGAATGCGGAATAAAAAAAACAGTCTAAGAGATAAAAACATTTTGCAACCTTCAAATGTTATGTGTTATGTACAACTGCCATCATGCATTATATTTTTGTAAAAAAAAACTCGTATTAAACCATATTTCGTTCAATTTCTATTATAAAAAAAATTTAAATCCAGCCTTATTATAATTTAGTAGAGTTGAAATTATTTCTAGAAAATGACGTTGGATTCTCAATATTTTCTGTTTTTAAATATTGTTTGTTTCTCAACATTGTCTGTTCCTCAATATTGCCTGTTTCTCAATATTGTCTGTTTCTCAATAAAGTCTGTTCCTAAATATTGTCTGCTCCTCAATATTGTCTGATTCTCAATAAAGTCTGTTCCTAAATATTGTCTGTTTCTCAATATTGTCTGTTTCTCAATAAAGTCTGTTCCTAAATATTGTCTGTTTCTCAATATTCCTAAATATTGTCTGCTCCTCAATATTGTCTGATTCTCAATAAAGTCTGTTCCTAAATATTGTCTGTTTCTCAATATTGTCTGTTTCTCAATAAAGTCTGTTCCTAAATATTGTCTGTTTCTCAATATTGTCTGTTTCTCAATATTGTCTTTCTCAATATTGTCTATTTCTCAATATTGTCTGTCTCTCAATATATTCTGTTTCTCAATATTGTCTGCTCATTAATATTGCCTGTTTTTCAATATTGTCTGTTTCTCAATATTGTCTGTTTCTCAACATTGTCTGTTTCTCATTATTGTCTGTTTCTCAATATTGTCTGTTCCTCAATATTGTCTGTTTCTCAATATTGTTTGCTCCTCAATATTGTCTGTTTTTCAATATAGTCTGTTTCTCAATATTGTCAGCTCCTCAATATTGTCTGTTTCTCAATATAGTCTGTTTCTCAATATAGTCTCCTCCTCAATATTGTCTGTTTCTCAATATTTTCTGTTTCTCAATATTGTCTGCTCCTCAATATTGTCTGTTTCTCAATATAGTCTGTTTCTCAATATTGTCAGCTCCTCAATATTGTCTATTTCTCAATATAGTCTGTTTCTCAATATAGTCTGCTCCTCAATATTGTCTGTTTCTCAATATTGTCTGTTTCTCAATATTGTCTGCTCCTCAATATTGTCTGTTTCTCAATGCTGTCTGCTCCTCAATATTGTCTGTTTCTCAACATTGTCTGTTCCTAAATATTGTCTGTTCCTCAATATTGTCTGTTTCACAATATTGTCTGCTCCTCAATATTGCCTGCTCCTCAATATTGTCTGTTTCTCAATATTGTCTGTTTCCCAAAATAGTCTGTTTCTCATTATTGTCTGTTCCTCAATATTGTCTGTTCCTCAATATTGTCTATTACTCAATATTGTCTGTTACTCAATATTGTCTTTTTCTCAACATTGTCTGCTCCTCAATATTGTCTGTTTCTTAATATAGTCTGCTCTTCAATATTGTCTGTTTCTCAATATTGTCAGCTCCTCGATATTGCCTGTTCCTCAATATTGTCTGTTTCTCAATGTTGTCTGTTTTTAAATTGTTTGTTTCTCAATATTGTCTATTTTTCAAATTGTGTGTTACTCAATATTGTCTGTTTCTCAATATTGTCTGTTTCTTTATATTGTCTTTTCTTAACATTGTCTGTTTTTTAATACTGTTTGTTTCTCAACATTGTCTGTTTCTCAACATTGTCTGTTTCTCAACATTGTCTGTTGCTCAATATTGTTTGTTTCTCAATATTGTCTGTTTCTCAATATTGTTTGTTTCTCAATATTGTCTATTTCTCAACATTGTCTGTTGCTCAATATTGTTTATTTCTCAACATTGTCTGTTTCTCAACATTGTCTGTTTCTCAATATTGTCTGTTTCTCAATATTGTCTATTTCTCAACATTGTCTGTTGCTCAATATTGTTTATTTCTCAACATTGTCTGTTTCTCTGTATGATCAGAGCTGGAAACTATTGTGCTGTGGATATAAAGTTCCCTTAGTGGATATCGGGATTATGCGTATCTAATGAGTTCCTAAAACTGACGGTATTTCCTTATTAACGACTTCTGTCCTTGTATCCAGCTATCTTAATTGTTACTCCTAGAAAGTATCACGTGACCATGAATTAATTAGATGAGACTTTATTCTCTTCCTTAAAGCATTTAACTCTAAGTCTAAACTATTTGAAACGACATCTATATTTTACTCCTGTATCTATTTATCTATCTATATACCTATCTATATATCTATCTATTTTATCTGCATCTATTTTTACTCCTGTATCTATCTATCCATCTATCTATTTATTAATCTGTAGAGGATCACTATTGTCGTCTTCCAAATTTGAATCCAAACCAAATTATATCTGTAATTTTCATGTTAGATAAAATAACTGTGTATCATTAGAATTCAATATATTACAGTACGTTTTCTGCTTCTATCAAATATGAAGTTGCTACATTTTGGTGACCCTGATGTGATAATTTTGTTGAGGAAAATATAACTCTTGCTGACATACCTGAAATATTGGTTCCGACTGGGTCCCTGCGATTGTCATACCTTATTAAGGTTTCCAGCAATCCGAGTTCATTTCTTTTCCTTTTTCAGTTGTAGCAATGGCTGAAACTCAGACTGTCCCAGATCCACTTCCTTTGATGACTATCTCCGTGAAGATGCCAACTTATTGAACCGATTCCCCGGAAGTCTTGTTTATTAAAGCAGAAGTTCAATTCAAAAACAAGAGGATTACTGGCTTAAGAACTAAGTTCACTTACTATGTAGCTGTGTTGCCTGTAGTTAGAGCACCTCCCTTATAAGGCTCCATGATGATGGTTAGTTCAAATGTACACTTTAAGTGATTTCCAACGTTACCAGGCCCTACAGAGCCTCCTTCTTCTCTCTGACCAGCATCCCTCAGAGTTGATGGATAAGATGCTCATGCTGCTCTCTGAGGACGAGAAGCTGGTATTTTTCTTTCAAGGATTGTTTATTGACAGACTCCCAGCTGATGTTAGATCTCACCTGCATACTAAGCCGATTAACAACCCTTGAAGAATGGCCCATGCGCCGTGCGCG